TGGGGAAACTAGCATATCGTTGGTTCAAGATTGATAATCTTTAAGCCAGTTTATTTTTTTTCCCTGTGTCTTTAATGTCACAGTTAAAACGTAAAGTCACGTAGTGAAAATGTGTAGAAATTACAAAATAAAAAAATCCCATCCCTGATAACGTAGCAGGAGTTACTACAACAGGGCGATAATTTAAAAATATAAATAAATGCCAAAGAGTTGTTTATTTATTCCCGTTTACGTTACGTATGATGTTTCTTCGAATACATTTTTCTTGAAATCAAATTTATTGGTCGGCAAAGGACTGGCCCGTGCGGTTTTACAGTTTGTTTTATTTTGGGAAATAATTCAAAAGTGAAAATATTTATTTTTCCGGATCTTTGCTGGTATTTTCGTATGACCGATGATAGTATTTTTGGTGTATTTTAAGAACTTAAATCTATATAAGTTATTTTGGAAGTAGTTCCAAACGTTTTAAAGAATTGATCTTTTTTTAAGCTGTAAAATTACTTAATATTTATTTTCAAATTTTATGTTTCTGGTCCATGCTTTCAGATGTTGATAGTCATCTGAATATACTACCACTGTACTTAGAAGCATTTTTGTTTAAGAGTCTATTACGCTGTATTTTTGGGTCACTCTCAAGGGTCGGGTAAAGGAAATATACAGGGTGTTTCAAAACAAATCCGAAAAACTTCAGGGGGTGATTCCTTGTTTAAAATAAAGGGTAGTTTGCTTCATAAACGTTGGGTCAAAAGTCAACCATTAGGGAGATATCGCGGTACAAAGATGGCGGAAAAATAATGTTTTTATTTTTTATCTTGAAAACGAAAAAGAGATAGACTAATGAAATTTTATGGAAGCACTTCTGTTACTGTTATCAGAAACACACTTTCTGGTAATTTTTTCACTTTTTTTTAAAATGAGTGGAAGGGGTTGAAATAAACTACCCTATCATTCTTGTTAACGAAATTTAAAGAAAAATCTTATCAAACACATGCAGAAAATTAATTTGGATAGTTCAGTTTGTTTAGAAACTTTTTATCTCTTGTATTTTTTGACAAAACTCACCGATTTGAAATTAAAAAATAAAATGTAAAGCATTACATTTCAGGACAAAAACATTTTCTGATAATCTAGTGGGCTGCTGTAATTTTTTTGGAAAAAATCTAGTCGGCCGCTATTACTTTAGGATGTTCCTAATATTATTTTATTTGACATTACTCTACTGCAATACGTTATTATCTAGATGATTATTATTATCGTTATTATCACTAGATTCTTAATCTAAAATATTTTTTGTCCTGACATGTAATGCTTTACATTTTATTTTTAATTTCAAATCGGTGAGGTTTATCAAAAACACAACAGAAATAAAAAGTTTCCTGTAAACTGAACTATCCAAATTAATTTTTCTGCGTAATGTTTGATAAGATTTTCTTTAAATTTCGTTAACAAAGAATGATGAGTGGTAGTTTATTTCAACCCTCCACTCATTAAAAAGTGAAAAAATTACCAGAAAGTGTGTTTTCATAACAGTAATGCTTCCATAAAATTTTATTAGTCTATCTCTTTTCGTTTTCAAGATAAAAAATAAAAACATTATTTTTCCGCCATCTTTGTACCGCAATATCTCCCTAATGGTTGACTTTTGACCCAACGTTTATAAAGCAAACTACCCTTTGTTTTGAACAAGGAATCACCCCTGAAGTTTTTCGCATTTGTTTTGAAACACCCTGTATATTATATTTCAGAAATCTGTCAAAGGCTTAGCCCGATCCTGTCGTGTTAAGCCACACCCATATTCCAAGCATACGTGCTTTGATTAAGGCTTGATTAAGGTTTGCAGAGTTTCAGAATTTGCGATAAAATTGCGAGCAATTTGTTACAAAACCATATAAGTTATATATCACTGTAATCAGAAAACTTCAATCTATTTCCGTGTTGTAACGGAATTTCAAATTATGTCTTTATTTTCGAGAAAATTTAGTCCAAACATAAGGAATATTTTGTTCATGTTTGACCATCAAAATGTTAAAAATAAATAAGTTGTCTAAAAATGTGCTACAATACGGATATAGTATAATCCTGTATCTTTAATTTCCTTCTTCATTTTTGTAAAAATATCTAGCCAGATTTACATAAAATGCCGGACTCTTATTTTGCTACTTTTTCGCACTAGTGAAATTGACTCTTAACAGCTAATCTAAATTACGCTTATTTACTCATGGCCACTCTTGACCTCTTATACCACTCCAGGCTTCCCTCTGGTGCTTAATTCGAGCTCCAAACCGACATAAAAACCTGGATAATCCTGTTCACGGCTGCCAGGTTCGAATTCAGGCACGTACTGGCGTCGAAACGTCTTCAAACTATGCCCCCTTGCGTAACTTCGTGCCCCCAATGCCTCCCCATGCTTTAACGAAGCTGGAAATAATTCCGCCCGTGTGGCATTAAGGGCTGAACCAAGGCGTGCATCCCGAAGCATTGACGTTCGAAAGTACAGATCGAGTCCTTTGATTCTTCCGTCCGAAAGATTAGTATTTTCCATTTCAATCATCAAAACAACACAAAAAAAAACACCAAAAAGGATAAGTAAAATATATTTTTAGACACTAAAAAAAAGGATCTCTCAGTCGAAATGAATATGACTTTGACCCAAAAGATTGGCACTTTTCAATAGGACCAAGAACGACGTTTCTTTGCCCAAAGCATTAACTATCTTTTCATAAACTTTAAAAAATTACTTTAGAGAATAGAATAATCTATCTGTCCAAAGTATTTCACTCTTGACCCAAAATGAATATGCAAAGAAGTTCTTGCTACAAGAACAATAGTCTCTTAGATTCATGCAAAAATTCTTGATTGAAAAGGGACATTTCTTGATAAAAGAGACACCTTTCTTAAACCAATAGCGAATACTATTGACTCAACTAAAATTTATTTTGATCTAAGAGAAATCTATACATCATATACAGGCATATTACGAGGTATATTATTTTCTGATAAATTTAGGTTTTCCTGCTGGTCTGTAATAAGTAAAGTGATATTATTTTCCTCGATAGTAGTTATTTCTGCTTCTTCACTCTTTGGTATTTTTTGGGGTGGTTTATCACTCTACAAATTACAAAAAATGTTACATCACGATCAAAAAATTAAAATTATAAGCTTTGGCCACATTTTGAATTTTTTAATACGACGACTTGAAATTCTAAAATTTTTGTAATTATTTGCATAAAAAAATCTCGATACCTATATTCTTATTATATCGCATGCATTATCTAAACAGGTGCATTAGGTAAATGTCTCTTACCTTCAAATATAGCAAATAAATGCTCTAATTTCCATTTTTTCAGAGACTCCTTTAAACAATCCATATATCCTAAAATTTGTCCATAAAAAATGACAAATGCATGTTAATAACGATCACTAATTTGTTATACGATATGCCTTTAAAAAGCAAATTATGTAAAATTCCAAGTGGAAAATTCCAAGCAACAAAACCCGTACGTACTATGTACCTACTATGATTGTATATACCGTCCTTCGTCATCGTCTTTGCGTATCGTTATTATTTTTCATCAAAAGAGTATTTAGCTATTGGAAAAATGGCCATGTTTCTTGAATACTTCCTAGCGTATTTTTCTTATTATCTTAAAGCAAAGTAACTTGTACTTGGTTGAAAGAAAATAGATTCAAGAGAAATTTTCGAGTTTTTCAAGAGAACCAGTTTCCTTGAGTTAAGAGAGTTTTTCTTCAGGCAAAATATTTTCTTTTAGGCTAAAATAAATTCTCTTGCCACTAATTTTTTTTTCAAGAACGATGACGACTTTAGTTCAAGTCTATCTTTTTTATCAGTGATGCCAGCAAAACAATGCCAGCAAACATGTGATTCTCCCACTTCATCCAAGAAGCACCACAAGCAGGGTTGGTTCTTCTGATATAGAGACTATATCTTCATTCCCGAGAATCTATAATCGTTGTCAGAAAATGTGTTGTTTTATATTTTTTTTTGAAACGGTTGTATGTTTCCAAATTCCTACCAACATTTTGATCTGCAGTAAGTGTATTGTTTTATTAGGAGTAAAAATTATACTTTTTTTGACGATGCTGTGTACCTTTGAAGGACCATCGTAAAGCTATTCCGACGTTACAGGGAGGTACAAAAATTCATTTTTACTCCGAATATATATAGGATCCTATATCTTTTACGCGGAGCAAAGGGCTTCAGTGAAAGCTCTCCATTGGGTTTTGTTTTTGGCAGTTGTTTTTCCTTCCTTCCATGTTGACCCTACTTGTTGAAGCTCATCCAGTATGGAACGTCTCCATGTTTGAGCAGGTCGTCCTTGCTTTCTTTTTCCTTGGGAATTCCACTCCAGCGCTGATCTCGCTATATTACTATAAGGTTTCCGCAAAGTGTGACCTATCCAACCCCATTTTCTTTTGCGGATTTCAATGCCTACTTCTTGTTGGTTTGTAAGATGAAGCAGGTCGGTGTTACGTATAGTGTCTAGCCAAAAGATTTTAAGGATTTTCCGCAAGCAGCGATTGATAAACACCTGTGGACGGTTGATGGATATTTTTGTCACTCTCCATGTCTCGCAGTCATATAATAAAACTGGTATGACGTTGGAATTGAATATTCTTAATTTTGTTTGTATGGAGAGTTGACAGGAGGTCCAAACTGATTTTAGTTGGCCAAAGGCTCGCTGCGCCTTCCTGATCCTGCTGAAAATATCCGCGTCTGCGCCACCGTTTGCTGTTACAATACTTTCCAGGTAAGTAAACTCTGTTACATTCTCGACATGTTTGATTCCTACATTGAATGGAGTGTTGTTGTTTGTGTTAATGCGCATTGACTTTGTTTTGTCGATGTTTATGCTTAATCCTACTTTGTCTGCTTCTGTTTTTAGACGTCTGAGCATAATTTCCATGTCTTTGAAGGATTGCGTTGTGAGACAGATATCATCAGCATAATCAAGATCCGTCAGATGCGATGTCAGAGTACATTACTTCCACCTACCACAGCAAACATTACTTCCCCTAATGTTTGCTGTGGCTTTAGTCAAAACGCTGTCAAGCACGATATTAAATAAAAGCGGCGATAATGTGCAACCCTGCTTTACTCCTATCCCTAAGTTAAAACTATCGCTGGTTCTGCCGTTGTGCAGCACATTGCATTCTGTGTTTCTGTAGAGTTCCTTGATTATATTAATTAGTTTTTCCGGAATACCTTTTTCTTTTAGAGTTTTCCATACCATCGCATGGGGGATACTGTCAAAAGCTTTGACGAAATCTATGAATAATAAGAATAAAGGTGACCTAAATTCTAGTGACTGCTCTATGATAATGCGCAATGTGTTAATATGGTCATGCACGAGTGGTTCGGTCGGAAACCAGCTTGGTTCTCTCTCGGAGTAGGCTCTATATAGGAGTTTAACCTTAAATGAACTATAGCGGATATTATCTTGTGTTTAAGAAGATAATACCTCTCCAGTTGTCACAGTTAGTGGTATCTCCTTTTTTAGGGAGTTTAATAATGAGACCCTGTTTCCATTCATCTGGAATGATGTTAGATACCCAAGCTCGTGTAATTAGAGGATGCAGTATGTCTGCTGCTGTTCTAGGATCTGCTTTGAGGAGGTCTGCAGGGACGCTATCGGGGCCGGCTGCCTTATTGTTCTTAGGTGTTTTAATAGCCTTTTGTATTTCTGTTTTCGTTGGCGTGTTGCAGTTGATAGGCATTTCGATTGTTGGCTCCGGTTGGTCGTTGTCGAAATTTTGTTCACTTATGGGTCCAAGCAGGTTGCTGAAGTGTTCTTTCCATCTGTCAAGCTGTTCTTCAGAGGATGTTAGTGGTCTGCCGTCTTTGCTTTTAATAACTGTATTGAAGTTACTCGGTTGTTTTGTTATTTTGTACAGTTCCCTCATATTGCGTTGTTCTGCGGCTTTTTGTGCCTCGTTTGCTAGTTGTTCATGCCAAGCTCGTTTGTCCTTTCTGGCTGATCTCTTAACTGCTCTATTCGATACTTGATATTGTTGTTGTAAAGTAGTTTTGGTCGTCTCTTTTTTTTTTGCGGAATATATTGGTGACCGATGTGGAAAAATGACTCTTAAAAGCGAGCCTAGGAATCATCTTTCGTTGCGGCTATTCTACCTTTTTCAATCAGTCTATCTTCAAGTTTTGACGTCCAGGGTCCAGACAAGGAGAGCGCGCCGAGGACTATCTGCAATTTAATAGTTCGGGAGGGTATTAACCCAGTTCGGAGGAAAGTTCGGCGCGACCGGGATGGGGGTTAGGGGTTCAAAGAGAGGGGGGACTTGTAAACTGTTGCACCGACACTGGCGGATTCCTGGGGATTTCGCGAGATTTTTATTCCATCGGCGTATACAAAGGGCGGCGTAAAATCCACGCTAGTGGCCTTTGGAAGGGACTAACTGTTGCCAGAATTATTGGAAAGGTGCCATTAAACCAGAAACTATAGCGACTCGAGCTGAATAAATTATTCTATTCGATCTTTTATTTATTTATTTCGTGTCGTTGTTGGAATCGTATAAAGTGGTAGTAAATATACTTTGTAGGCAGTATGTTGTTTCAAGAGGGTTATATACCTTTTATTCCTTATTGAATTTAATATAAGCTGATATCGAGTCACAAACTACCTTGGGCCATTACTAACGGGAATTATTCTTCTTAAGGTGCCGTGCAGATTCCTGCGTAGGCGTTCATCTTTTTCTTCCTCATCAGATGGTTCTGTTAACTGCCGCGACTTGGAGTGCTTGGAAGTCCTGTATGCCTGTCCAATGACGAATATTTCTCAGCCAGGATAGCTTCCTTCGTCCTATCCCCCTTTTGCCCCCCTCTATTTTACCCTGGAGAATCAGACGCTGAAAGTGATAGCGTTCTCCACGTAGTATGTGTCCCAAATAGGCTATTTTCCTCTTCTTGATGATTTCGAAGAGTTCACGTTGTTCCAGACCAGCTCTTCTGAGAATGTCTTCATTCCTAACACGGTCGACCCAGGGCACTCTTAGCATTCGTCGTAGGGTCCACATTTCGAAGGCTTCAATTCGGTTTATTGTTGTTACCTTCAGTGTCCATGCTTCCACACCATATAACAAAACGGACCAGACATAGCACTTCACCATTCTGTATCTAAGGCCGAAGTTCAAATTCCTATCTCTGAGAAATCTTCGCAGTCTCAGAAAAGTCGATCTTGCTTGTTCGATCCTGCATTTGATCTCCTGATCCGGATACCACGTTTCGTTAACCATGCATCCCAAATATTTAAATTGTGTGACCTGCTTGATGACCTCTCCATTTAAGTAAATTCTGGTGTTCGGAATATTGTTTCTGGTAACAGCCATAAATTTAGTTTTTGTAGTATTTATGTTTAAACCCTGTCTTTGGCTTTCACTGTTTACCTTATTTAGAAGGATTTGGAGAATATTTGCATTGTCTGCCAATATCACTGTGTCATCCACATATCGGATATTATTAATTGGAATGCCTTTTATTTTAAAACCAATGGGACTATCGGAGATTGACTCAGTGAATGCTCTTTCCACATATAAATTGAACAACATTGGAGATAGAATACACCCTTGCCTTACCCCCTTTTTTATTCCAAAATCTTCTGTTACTCCCACGCTATGTATACGAATTTGTGAAAAAAGTTTTATTCATATGTTTCAAGGTTTATAAAGGGGTGTATCCTAAAATATTTTGTTATATACACTCTAGTTTTTTACCACTTTTCGTATATAATGTTTTTTTAACCAAAGTTTTTAGTAAATAAGAAATAGATTGGCAACATCGCAGTTTGCTTTAAATAAAGAACAGTGTATAGCATAATTTTATGCCGAATCCATTATCTACAGAAAAATAAGTTTGCTTTAAATAAATGGCGTCACCAAAATCGCAATATTTAAAATGGTATATCTTAACTTTTTCAAATGCGACATTCTGTATATTATTTTTCTGTCAGATGCAGAATTAAATAGTGAACATTTTTTTATTAATTTAAAGTGTTTCAAAATTTTTACCGCTGTCGCAGATATTCGCAGTATTATATTACATATGGCTCTTTCAACAGTAAATTTTTTTCAAAGCCACCTAATATGATCTTTGTCTATCTTGTCTTGTCAAAAAATGTTCACCTTTTAATTCTACATTTGAAAGAAAAATAATACACAAGGTGTTGCATTTAAAAAAAATGAGATACAACATTTTTTAAATATTACGATTTTGGTGACGCCATAAAAAATATCCTGTATACGATAAAGTAAATTTTTCTACACGAATTTATTCCGATATCCTTCATGTTTAAGAAAACATAGCAAAGTAATAATAAAGTTATATTCACTCTAGTTTTTTACCACTTTTCGTATATAATGTTTTTAACCAAAGTTTTAGTAAATAAGAAATAGATTGGCAACATCGCAGTTTGCTTTAAATAAAAACAGTGTATAGCATAATTTTATGCCGAATCCAGTTATCTACAGAAAATTAAACTTGCTTTAAATAAAAAAAGTCGTAGAAAATCTCTGAAATAGAAAATAATATAAAAATATGTCATTATATATTTTTCCGCATTTCTTCTCATCAGAAGATTTTCAGATACAGAAGAATGTTACCTACACGAAATGTGAAAATATTCTGTTTTCAAGCAAGTTTTTACTCGATGATCATTTTTTTTTATTTTATTGTGAACTCATATTTTCCTAAATACATATCTGTGAAACTATGGCGAGTGCCACGTCTATACTTTGCCTAGTTAATAGACCACGACTATACAGCTACGTCGTCGGCTACGGAGGCGAGAACAAGGTCATATAAAGTGGCAGAAAAAGAACAAAGGATTTGACAAGAAGTAAAACTACTAGTTTCATTATACTATGCTTTTAAAACCCTTGAAAACTTGCAAAAAAATTTGTACCATTCTGGTCAGGTTACCGCTTATTTTGTCTTTAAGTAGAACACACAGTACAAGATTTTATACCTTGAATAATCTGAATTTCGAAAAATATTTTCATAAAGTTTGTCCAGAGGATACGAGTTACACAAGTAGTACCATAAAAGCCAGAACAGCTGTATTTTCATTTATTCCACCGCAATTTTTACTAAAACACGAAACCAAACAGTTAAACCGCGGCCATATGTGAGCACCGCAAAGATAACCGCACACCAATTTACGTAATATTCGTAAATAAATTGAAAAACCACAAAACAAACATATATTTTCCGCGCCAGATTCCCTATTCGACCTATTTAAGTCCGGGAAAATGCGGGAAAATTTGCACGGAAAGCGACGAAATAGCAACAGGAATATCGTTGGCACGATATGGAGTTAGGGAAAGCTCTAGCGTAGCCCGGAATATCGGATTGCCATGGGAAAATATAGTTGCAAACTCAAACAGCTAAAGCTTCTGGAGATTTTGATAAAACCGTTTATATTACAAATTTATGTTGAGGAAAAAATTTCATAAAAAGTTTATCCCATCAGAAACGTAAATAAAATGTAGAAAAAATGGATATTTTTTATAAAACACTAAATCACCACAATACACTTTTACTTTTACACTGGACGCGCGTTTCGCTAACCATGTTAGCATCATCAGCAGATGATTATAAACTCAATTATCCCGTGGTCTAAAAGGAATTTTTAAGCAGGTCAATTATAAACTTGTGTATAGTGCTAATAATAAATTACAACAATTATTAGGTAATCCAAAGGATAAAACACCTCTACTGGAAAGGTCGGGTATTTATGAAATTTCTTGTAAAGATTATAATCAGAAATATGTTGAGCAAACTAGAAGATCAATATTAACTAGATTTAAAGAACATTTAGCTCAGATAAGATATGGTAGACCGGATAAATCTTGCGTTGCCGAACATATTGTTGATAAAGAACATTGTATAGATCTTAATAATTTAAAATTAATTAAACAAGTCTCAAATTACAGGCAATTAGATGCATATGAAAGCATCAGAATTAATAAATGTAAAGATAGTATGAACAGAGTCAACGGTCCAATTCCTTCAAGTTTTTGTTCCTACTACTCTAGTGGCGGAAATCTAACTGTTACGCTCAATGGGCTCTGACTCGGTTGGCTAGATTTTGCCACGCCCACTCGGTGCCCACTGAGCGCGTATATAAACGCTCAACTTGTAGATTGTACTTTAGTTTATAATCATCTGCTGATGATGCTAACATGGTTAGCGAAACGCGCGTCCAGTGTAAAAGTAAAAGTGTTTTTTTTCATTTCCCAAAAGAACAAACCACTGCAAACTTCCCCAAACATGGAAACTAATTTCAACTCCATTAGTTTTCCAACTATTTCTCCTCCCGAAATATTAACTCTGGATGCACGTTCTTTGCCACAAAACCGGCAAATATTTGGCCTACAATGCCCGGCAGGGATAATACCGGAATCCTTGTATCCTTTTGTCTTAGACGGACGGGCATAGACCATTAGTCTGGAAACAAATCCAGTCTGGAGCTTGTTATTTCCAAAATATTAATTTTGTGGACGGGGTGCCGTTAGAGAGAGATATGTGAGGGTGACAGAGACAGACATAGAGTTTGCTGACGTGTGGAAATAAGCTCAATAACCTAGACAAAATAGTCCTGAGGTTATTCAGGTTGTTAAACGTAATTTATGTCTAGTAAGATAGACAGGGTGAATCAACTCAAACTCCATTTTGATATAATGTTTTAAGAATTAGGAAACATCTTTATAATTTAATGAAATACTGTAACCATAATAATAATCATATACCATAAGATCGAAAAAAAAACGGAGTCATAGACGGGTGGGCAATGACAAACGGCGATAATTTTGGAGAGTCTCCAACCAAACCAAACTTATTCTCAATTTTTAAGTTTATCTTTAAGGAATTGGGTTTCTTTCTATATGTCCGTACA